CTCTTGAGTTCATTTTTAGAATAACTCCTCTTCAAGAGACCTTCAGGGCACCCTCAGGTGAGAGTAAAGCCTGCTTCTCTTTGTTTCTGCCAGGCTTTCAGCTCTCACAGCCACAGAAGGCTAGGCAGTCAGATTAGAGCTCTTGCTACCCACTAGCTCCTAAGTAACACACACGGGCAGATCACTGTTTGATTGATGGTTTCATCCTGGAGCATGACATGGGCCACTGAATAGTTGGAGTACATTTGTACAAATAATTTGTTGAGACTATGTCCTAGAAATTTCACTTATTTTTTCTTAAAGCAAATTATATTTATGATAAGGAGACTTCATTTACAAAGGCCTTCAGAATAGATAATAAATCTGATTGAAAAGTTTCATTTATGAATACATTCATATTTCTTGTTAATAAAACAACTCCTATTATATAACCATGTCTTCTGGGAGACACCTACTCTCTTCTTTGATAAAACAGAAATTATTGTTAGATTTTCAATCAAGTTCACCTTTATTTTAACATTATCTTTTTGTTCTTTTTTTATCATGGTGTTATTACTAAAACAAAAAAAATGAGACTTTCACTATGTTTGTTGTTTTTTTTTTTTTTTTTTTTTTTTTTTTTTTTTTTTTTTTTTTTTTTTTTTTTTTTTTTTTTTGTCAGCTCAACAAAAGGTAGGGTCACCTAGAAAGAGGAAACTTTAACTGAAGTATTGCCTCCAACAGACTGGCCCATGGGCACCTCCCTAGAGCGTTCTGTAGATTAATGGTTGATGTGGAAAGGCCACGCCCACTGGGAATATAAGTCCTTAGTTAGATAAGAAAGCAGGCTGAGCAAGCCATGCCAAGCAAGCTGTTCCTTTATGGTTTCAGTCCCTGCCTCCAGGTTCCTGTCTTCACTCCCCTCTGTGATGGACTGTCTAAGCCAAACCAACCCTTCACTCCCCTCTGTGATGGACTGTCTAAGCCTAACCAACTCTTGATTCCCCGAAGGTGCTTCTGGTTGAGAGGTTTATCACAGTAACAGAGTTGGACTCTCAGAAACTTCGATTTGCTCAGTACTTACTTTTCAGAGTTATTTTTCTCATTTCTGAAACTAAAATAATTTTATTTCCATGTAAATGCTGTTCTTAACTAATGCAAAAGTCCTGAGTTTAATTACCATCTTTGGGTACTTAATGATCACAGGACCACAAATGCCATTTGAAAATGTAAAACCTTTAGCTTTTAACTTCCTTTTGCTTTCATGCATAGCATGGCTCTAATATCACAGTAGTGGTATTTATTAGCTGTCTTTGTAAAACTGTGGGTAATACATCTTTCAAATTTCATTGGGAAGAAAAGAAACTGAATCCCACTGGGATCTCCATTATTAGTTCTTCCTGTGGGAATTTATTTTTCTGCTATTAGATGATGTGTTTTGATTGGTCTACATTTTATATGGTGGACTGACAAAAGCAAAATTCCTGTATTAGAGTTAGAGATTTAAGTTCTACATCTGATGGTCTGCTCACACTATCTCCCAACCAGTTTGGCTCATATTTAAGATTGTATAATTATTTTCTGACTTTGCAGAGTGTCTGTTTTCAGTAGGAAAACTTTAGTTTTTAGTTTGCTACCTTGGATAACAATAAAGTGGCTGAGCAACACCCTGTATCCTTTTGGATGCTAGCAGTTCTAAAGAGTGCTGGACAAGCCACAGCTTTACACGGCACTCACCTCTAGGAAATGAAAATCAAGTTTCATCCAAAGTCTAAGTGCAGCCATCTTCTTTCCTACCCGTCAGGGTGTCTGCCCCACCTTCTCTGTAGGAGAGTTGCTGAATGATGTATGTGAATAAATCTGATGGGAAATTCCTTATTTTTCAAATTAACCCAAATTCTCAATTTTTTTAAGCATAGAGGTTTCTAAGCTTCAAGTGCTTGCTCATATTATCCAAAATCTCTTAAGCATAGAAAAGCTATCAGTTCATGCTGTCAGTCTATCTAAAGTGTCCCACACAATGCCCAGTCTCAGAGTGTACATTGTGTCTTTCATCTACAGATTACATACTCTTGAATTTATTTCTGTTGAGGGATAATGGAGATACTTGGTGGTGTGTAAGTCAGGTGTCTACTTTTACCATGGAATATGGAATTATTTCATTTTAATTCGAGGCAGCCTAGCCAGTAAGACTCTATTAAAAATAATTATCTTTCATCTCACACACATATTTCTATCTTTGAATCCAAGCTTGACTTTCCCCTCCAGCCACTTTGAACAAGATGGGTTTTGCCAAGAGATTATTTCCTTGCTTCTAACTTTGGCTGTGTGTGCAGGAGTCTCTCTGTCTGGACGGCATTTCCCTTCCTTCATTGTTCATTTGTGTAAACATCTACCCTTCCTTCAAAGCTCTTATCAAATGCCATTTATGAAGCTTTCTCTAAACATCTCACTGTAAGCACACACATGCGCGCGCGCGCGCGCGTGAACACACACACACACACACACACACACTCTCTCTCTCTCTCTCTCTCTCTCTCTCTCTCTCTCTCTCTCCCTCTCTCTTTCTGTGTGTGTGTGTGGTTTCTGTGTCTTTCTCTCTCTCCCTCTCTATCTGACACACACACTTTTTTTTTAAGTAACACATCTCTTTCCACAGCTGTGATTGCTGCAGTGGCTGAGGGAGGCCCCTAAGAAGCAGGCCCCACAGACCTCACTTAACCTACTTACAGACGTTACAGAATTCCCTAAGCTCAGAATTCTTCTGAGCTCTCCCTCATTTCCTTTAAAGTTCATTTAAAATTAAGCCAACATCTTTATTTTGAAAACAAACCATGAGGCAAAACCAATTTATAAAATTATTCAAGACAATATTCTCTCAATTGCGTTTATGTATAGTTTTCTGATAACATTGAATTTTAACTTTTTCTTTTAAGATGGTCCAGTTATTCAACAGAATATGCCCAGATGCTTGAGGAAGAGGAGTTATATCTTTTGAATTCTAAACCAGAAATATTGGGAAACTGGGAAACCTACACACAGAAAACTCTTGTAAGCATTCTTAGAACTGATGCCCCCTCCCCCAGTTCCCCACTACAACATAACAGAAAAAAAAAAAAAAAAGCTTGGGTGGAGTTGAGAACTCTTTTCAAATGTAAAACAATCACTGGAAATCCTGAAAATGTGTCCTCCTCAGTCTAGCTGGAAAAACACTTTAAAGTTTTTTTTTTTTTTCCCTAAGAATTGTTTAGCAAGAGATTTACTCAGAAGTTTCTATTTTTGACAGAAAGTTCAGTTTTAACTGCCTGAAATACAATGCCATCTGTGTTTACTTTTCCCTTCTAAAACACAATTTCTTTTTCCCCTGTATGCATAACAAGTGCATGGTTTTAATAACCCATATAAATGTGTTGATCAGAAAGGTGCAAATTTCACTTTTTGAATCTAAGCCACAGAAAACATACCTTCAAATTAAAAACTTTCAGATACTTTGGTTAATAGTTACGTCCACAATATTTATTACCCTCTGAGAGGCAGTGAGGAGTTAGAGACCCGGGCACGGTGCAGACTGGAATGGAGTGAGAGACAGATAAAGGGCCAAATCCCAGCCTTCCTCATTCGTACCCATCACTCCTTCCACTCACGTCTACCTGACATTCAGAAATCATTACAAAATATAGAATTTATTAATCAGAAACTTTGTATTTTCTTATGTTCTACGAAGTGATCTACAATTATAAAATCAGTACAGATTTATATTTGAGTCACCCCATTTCTGGAACAATAATTATGCTAATAGGCAACTAATTGCTTTCCCAATGAATCTTCCATAGGAAAAATTCAGAAATTTTGCTCAGTTTATGTTTCACTGAATATTTGATTTCCCCTTAAAATTAATAAATCTTTCACATTTTAAAACTTTCATCCTGGTGTTTCTTTCATAGCTAATAGTTTAATATCCTAAACCAGATTTTGGGGGAGTGAAGTCTATACTCAAATAGATCTCTAATAGCAGGTCTAGTATGGGTTCTTGGAAGTTTCTGTGACAGGCTTCCCTTTTGAGAAATGGAGGATTTTGTTGCCCAGCATCTCAGTGGACTTACTCCAGGAGCAGCTGGGCCTGTGGGACCTAGCCTAACTCATCCTGTTTCCTCTTGAGCCTACAGAAGGCAGAAGCTAAGCAGAACTGTATCCATGTGCTTTTCAACCCGAAGGCACGTGTCACCTCCATTGTCCTCTGCTCAGAAGCAGCGCTAAAATATGTTTTTAATGCAACTTGGGGAATTTTTAAACAGCATGTGCACTTCTCCTGTGTGTGAGGTATGACTGTATATTACTCACACCTCTCTTCCTTTAGGTTCTAAATTAATTTCTCTTGAGTTGTCTTATATACATTATGTAAGTAACTGAGATTTCCTATTATTCACATAAGTCTCCTACTCCTTAATTAGTGGATATATTAGACAATTTAGGGCATGATTGGTAAAATAAGCAGGCCATAATTAAACAACAAATGTTAGCTTATATTAACCTTCAACCCAGGAGATAAAAGCATATCATGAAAGAGTTGTCAATAGTATGACTACTTAATGTGTTACTGTAATAGGCACAAGAAACAATGGAAAGATCCTTTTAAAACTCCCTTCTAATAGAGGGCATTTTAATTAATTTTATACATCTGTAAACTAATCCGATACACAAGGTATTAATGCATGTTTAAATCTCTAGTAAAGATTTTAAATCAATAAACAATCCTGTGTGTGTATACGTGTGTGAGAGTGATGAAGTCTCACATAGTAGCAGAGACTGGACAGGAATTATTATGTTACCCAGGCTGGCTGGCTTCAAACCTGTGGCAATCCCTCTGGCTCAGCTTCCCTAGTGCTGGAATTACAGGCCCAAGCCACCATCTTCAGCACCAACCTTCCTTCCCTCTCTTGCCTGCACTTGCAACTTAGTGTTCCTTGAAAGAGTAACTGGACAAACGAAGAAGAAGACAGTCAAGTTTGAGTGCTACTCACGAGAAGACATTCCCAATGTAGGCATAGTAGGAGCAACAGTACGGGGTACTTCCATCGCAGCAGTAAGATCGGCAGTCTTTGCCACACTGAGCAAGGCAATCCTCTACGGAGGAGAAAACGAGAGCAGTTGAAGTCGTGAAGTCACAGCTCAAAGAAAACTTATTCTCTTCATGTCTATATCAATCAAACAACTTTTAGCACATAGAGATGCTCATTTTCACACTCTAAATTCCAAATCATTTCTAAGGGCCAAACTGGCCTTTCTCCCCAATAGACTGCAAGCTGGTAGGAAGAAATAAAGCTCTTCTTCCCAAGTCCCTGCTCTGAACACTGTGACTGTAGATGGCTTTGGGTGAATAAGACCATGATGAAAGGAATTTATCAGCCCACCAGTCAGTAAAGTTGCCAGTAGAGTTCTTATCATAGTTCCCAAACAATGAAGCTTCCTGACTTTAGAGCATTGATTCTCTAGTAACTTCAATTAATGGAAAACATTAAATTGACATACTATTGATATAGGAAATACCAATGGTAATCACTGAAAACTAATATGTACATTTGCCATGGTAATTTAATAATGCTTTTGCTTTTATGTTATATTCTCCCTCTACAATTAAAGCTCCTATACATGCAATTACACAATTTAGTCTGCATACTATTGTTCCATTAGGCTTGGAAGATAATGAGCTAGGTACAGAAGATGTTTATATAAATAACATAAGTTAGCAGTTTACTTAATGTCATATCAAAAAATCAATAAGTTATAACACAGCACAATGTGATGCCAAAAAATTCTGATTAAAAGGATACGTTGGACCTAATATTGCTTTTTCATATGTGCTTTTCAACAAGAAAATTGACACAAAAGTATTTAATAAGAATCATCCTGACCTTAAACAGCTTTTTCTTCCACCTAAAGGGTTTATTTTTCAGTATAGCATTAACACTGAGCTTTAGCAAGGGGCATAAATTATGGTGGATGTGTTTCAGGTACATAATTAAAAAGCACTATAGTCCTATAGTGTACATTCTATGTTCAAGAATTTCAAAATAAGCCATTTTCAACCAGGCTCCTGAAAGTAATGTCAATAGTATGGAATAAATTATATGAAGTTTTTGCTTCCCTATCGGAGTTAAAATTTTGAAAGTACAAGGTATAATATTTATGCTTGCATGTGCTTTTGTTGCTTTCTCTAAAAAGGAAGCTTTTATGTCACATCTTCCTACGGTGTGATCCAAATGTAGTGGCTCCCGTCTGACTTTGTTAATTGATGTGGCTTTTGTGGAGCAAGTGAGAAAGGTCACATTTTCTCCCGATTCATTTTATTTCTATAGCACAGATCAACAAAATGAACTTTAAAGGTTTCCACTTGACTGGAGAGGGAAATTATTTTTTGCTGTTCTACTTAAATCCACATGAGAAACAATAAATCATAGAGCTCCAAGAGAGTGGCTACTGCATTGTCAATAGTGTTTCCAAGAAAACGTATCATTAAAAAAAAATTGTTTGCTTGTTTTTAAGATATATCTTAGTGTGGCCCAGGCTGTACTGGCTACAAGAATGCAGAAGATGACATTTAACTCCAGATCTCTTGACTTTAGCTTCTAAATATTGGGAAAGAGGTACATGCCCCCTCTTCCGTCTAGGACATCATAATTTTTTTAGGCTTCCTATTTGACAGTGTTTTTACTGAATTTCTCCATCTTGATGTTTTGTTGTTGAGTTGGTTCAAATATTTAGTCAGCTACCTCCAGAGCCTAGCAGAGATGTGCCGCTGTTTTTGTTTTTAAAACTACTCAGATCGTGAAGCCAAGCCCTCACTACTGGTGGTGCTCTGACGAGTGACTTAAAATTAAGCTTCCCAGGAATTCAATGATTCAGTTGTCCCGATTGCACTAGTTACTGCTGCCATAAGGACACAGTGTTATCAAAATATTTCGAGCCAACTTTACAGGAAACCAAGCCCCAGATTTTCTAGCCAAGAAACTGGATAATTCCTGCAGGAACATCCATGCCATGTCACACACTGTTCAGTAATTTTAGGGCGTTTTCTAGCCCTGTTGTCTACTTCTCAGAATTAAACTACAGAAAACGGTAAATTTAGTAGCTTGATGAATGTACTCACCATCACAGCCCTTCCTAACTGAGGCTTCAATCAGACCTCAAAGCTCATTGTATTATTGTATATACTTTTTCTTGCATTCTGAGAGTCATATGAGGAAGATCATAGTTTGGACTGCACGGGGCTGGCTGTTTCTCCTTTATGAAATAATGGACAGTCCAGTTGCCCGCTGAAAATAAAATAATATTGCTAGCATTTTTTAATGAAAGGTGTGATCTGGAAGGTTCCTCCAGCATACTTGCCCACTTCCTCCCCTTCAGGAATGTGTAGTACAGGATAGCACTATCTGGCTTGAAGTCCTTGCTGAGAATGGTTTCTTCCAGCCATAGCTGAGGAAGGAAAAGGAGGGGCAGAAGACACAGGCTAAGGCCCGGAAGGTGAAACCTTGATAGAATCCTGTCTTTGTAGCCTGCAGTGGGAGCTGGACAATAATATAAACACTTCATCAGGGTCTCTTGTTCTTCCACGAAAAAACTCAATGCATTAAGCATAGAAGAATTTACTCTCATTTGCTCAACCCAAAGCACATGGATATATTACATTTTCGTTGTGCAATATAACTGGGCCATAGTTACTGTATGTGTGTGTTGTGAAACTAGCAGTTCATCTGTTAAAATGCTCAGTCATCTAACCAGAATGCGTGTGTCCAGCTGCATCTCCTAATTCCAACCGAACTGAACTATCCACTGCTGAGATTCCTCATCTTACCATGCAGCCTGTGCTAACATAACCCTATGTTTTCTTGGTCAAGGAAGGGCTTTTCTAGTCTCTAACCATCTTATTCCCTCATGTCTTCCTCACTCAAACTAAGGCACTCTGACTGAGCCCTTAGCCTTGCCTGCCTGGGAGGATATTTTACTGAGAGACATAAGTATTACATGAAGGGACTTGCCCTCTTGAAATAGCAATCTGGCCACCACCTTTGACAGCTCTGGTATGAGACTGTACCTGTTCTGTGACACATGCTTTCCCACATTAAACTGATATATGAGCTCACCTTATCACCCTCCGAAAACTCAGAACATGGCCTAAGCATGACAAATGAATATGGCAACCTCTAAACCGCCTCTGATGTACGAAGTTCACAGATTTCCACCAAAGAACTCATCCATTCAGCATTTCTTACAAGAGATACCAAGAAAACCTAGTGTTGGCTTGCAACTACTGGGCAGTTTATTGGATAGGTGTTTGGGAGACAAAAAATGTCAAAGTGAAAACTACCTATACAAACCACCCAACTAATTACTGTCCGGTGACACTGGTTCCCTGAACACTGGAGTTGCTGTGCTTGTAGTCCCAAAAACTGGAAAAGGGCAAGAGCAGGCATGTAAAGATGAGGCCTTTCAGCCTACCACAGGGAAGCTACTCAGAACAAGTTACTGAATAGGCTTCATGAAGTTACTGAGTCAGGACAAAGATTCAGTCATTGAAGCTTCATTTACTTTTGCTTGTGTGTGTGTGTGTGTGTGTGTGTGTGTGTGTGTGTGTGTGTCTTTAATAAACTGAAGAAGTGGGAAGAATCTTTGTCGCCTTCAAGAAGCTAGAGGAGAGATGCTGACGCAAAATTTCGGATTGCAGTTGATTCTTAGTGCCTCCGGGTAGGAAAACTATAATAAGCTAATTCCTCAAGTAGACGCACTCTTCCTACTTGCAGAAATTCTGGGTTAGACAGTCAGCATCTCCCCTATAGTATCTGTGGCTTTTAGATAGCAATTGGCTTTTTAAAAATCTGCTTATTTTTGAAAAAGGGTCTCATATATCCTGGTGGGGTCCTCAGACCAATCATGTAGCTGACAATAACTTGGAACTTCTGATTCTCCTGTCTGCCTAGTGCTGGGATAACAGACAGGGGCTACCACAGCTGGTTAATGCAGTACAAGGGATTGAACCTAAGCCCTTTTTGTTTGTTTATGTTAGGAAACTGTGATCAACCCCAGGACCTAGTTTGCATCTTAATAGATAAAAATTTTCTACAAGTGAGCACTCCTTTTATGGCAGATCTGTCAGGGATGGGGTGTGTGTGAGGAGTTTGTGGACTGGTAGATAAGCCTGAGATTAGTTGTCATAAAAAGTTAAAAACACAAAATGTTTTGCACTCACACTCTGTGAATTGGATGCTAGGAGAGAGCTGGCAATTATACTTGAGTAAGTGATGAAAGGCTATATAAGGCTCCCTGTCAATCAGAGAACAAGAAAACCACTCTGCTTCATTAATTATTAGCAATTGCCACTAAGAATAATTATAAGGAGGGAAATGAGGGGCTTTTCACAAACAGGTGCTTAATCACCTTTAAGAAAAAAGAAAGAAAGAAAAGAAACTCCTATGGGCCTTGGTGAAATACTCTCCCAAATCCTATAGCTCAGAGCATGTGGTTGCTTAGCCTCAAGTCCTCGCAGGTCTTCTAAGAAGTACCAGGAAATGTCTAAAGTCTCTGACTTCTTAAAGAGAAAAAAAACTGGATTGTTGAAAGCAAGAGCAGCGTGAGATGAAATGCAAAAGTCACTAATGCGTTTATTTTTAATAACTTCGCCTTTAAGTTTCAAGTATTTTAAAAAGTCTCTGCCGGCCATCAACCAGGGTTCACTGAAATCCTGGATGTGCTTTTAACACTAGTCAGATTAAATCCCCTTAAAGGAGAGTTTCTGAATTGGTTTGCAAACAGAAAAGAAAGCAGCATTAGAGATGGGGGTTCCAACGTGCGAGTGTCTGGTGTTGACTCCTAGGGAATCACCACTCTTCTACATTCCTGCTTTGGCCCCAAGTCCCTGGACCCTCTCTCCCTGTTACACCTTCCACTGACCTGCATAGACAAAGAGCAGGACCAACTTCGGAAGCAAGACCCCTGGACGCCGGGGCAGCCTCAGTGCCTCCATCCAAGCCGATGGCCCCAAGCTGCTCTGTCGGACAGACGGGTAGACCTGGCAGAGGGTGGAGTGAAGGCACAGCTAGGACACCCAGCAGCGATGCGGAGGATACAGGATGGTCAGGTGGACAGGGCTGTGCTCCCGAGAGCAGGCTCCAGAGCAGTCCTGGCCATGACCCCAGCCAGAGAACAGAGGAAGCCGGCTGGCTGTGCGGGCTAGGCGCCGGTGGTCCTGGCCTGGCTGAGCTGCGTCAGGGGCTCTTTTTCCTGTCCAAAGGTGCTGACTCTGGCAAGCAAGAGGCTGCTTCTCTGAGGTCCTTGGCCACCCAGGCTCACATTTCATCTGCGAGGGTGTCACCAAAGTGGGATGGGGGTGGGGAGGTGCGGGACTCCTCCCCACTTCGCTGTTTCCTCTATAGAATGACAGAGGGCTTGGCTGCATCAGGAGGAAACTTCTGAGTTGTTTGGCTTTTGCTACAATTTAGCCAGTCCCTGGGGACTACTGTGTCCTCTGGGTCACACCCCATCTGCCTTGAAGCAGTGGATGGAGACTTTAGCTTCCTCACTAAACAAATGAAGATGGAAGTTTTTGGAGTTTTAAAAAGCGATTGTACACGAATGACAGTCAGTGACGGCTTCCCAGAATATGAAACTACAGGAATTACGGGGGATCGCTCCTGAAAGCTGATACAAAGCACATTAATCAAATACCTGAAGCATTTCAACCAATTCAGGGAAAACAAAATGAAACGAGAGGTGCCTGGCCACCAACGTTGCTCTGGAGTTACTGTCCTATGCAATTAGATAAGAGAAAGAAAAAAGAATAGAATAAAATAAAATAAATAGAAACAAAAATATTAGCAAATTAGGTGTTCATGTGGGGAGGGGGGACTTGATCAATGGTGAAGATCTTTTCTTGAAAAAAAGTCAATAGTATTCAACACTATGCAGAAAGTAAAGAGAGGAAAATAAAAGGAAATGCTTGTCTTCAAATTAAAGCCAGCAAAATGAAGAGTTCCCCTCAATTATTCTGCAAATTGAGGGTGACATAGATCCTTTTTTCTTCCTAAACAGGTTTCTCTGTGGCTTTGGAGGCTGTACTGGAACTAGCTCTTGTAGACCAGGCTGGTCTGGAACTCACAGAGATCCTCCTGCCTCTGCCTCCCGAGTGCTGGGATTAAAGGTGTGCAACACCACCACCAGGCTAATGTAGATCTTAATATAATCGCTAACGTGAAAGTAACTATGTAAGGACAGCAAACAGCTAACTGAAAACAGCAGATATTTACAGACAACTGGATACATATGCTAATGTCATTTTTCTCCCTTTCTTAAATACTAAAATGATTGGAAGACATTACTCGTTAAGTATGAAACCAAGAAACTAAAATACTAAGTGACACACACACTTCAAAACTCAAATATACCTGAACCTTTATTTAGTCAATCTTCCTTGAAGAATTTTTACCTGTGTACAAGGGCCAAAGACCGTAGGCCGAGAATATACAGCACCTCTAACTACATTTCATGCCTGAGGAAGGCCCAGCTATTCACTGCTGAAAAACAAAACAAAACAAAAAAACCCAAAACATGGTCACTTCTACTCTCACCTTCAGCCAAACACAACTAAGTTTTAGTGACACAATTTAAATCCATTGCAATCTGGAGAAAGTATTTTAATGCATTTATTTCGTCTAAAGGAGAGGCGCTATGCGCATGTGTGCAGCCTAAGGACACATTTCTCCTCTTCCAGCTTGTGTGATTGCTTCTGCAGACCAGATCTGCAGGGTGAGGACAGGCACCTGGCAGAGAAGACACGATCTCTCCTGCTTCTGATGTACACAGCTCTGGAAGAGGCTGTTAGACTGGAGAGCAGCCGACCTCACCCCCAGTACAGGAGCTAAGAGGTGGGCCTGAGAACGTGCATTTCCAACATGCTACCCATTGAAGAAACTGCTGTATCAGCCTCAGAGTGAGAGCCACCAATTTAGACTATTCTGACACACCACCACTGATGTCCCTAAGAAGGTGTACTGTTGGTGAGCTAGAGAAGTTTGTTCCAGATTGTGAGAACAAAAAGCCTTATATGGGCTGGAAGATGGATCAAGCCACCTTGCTTGCTAGCTCAACACAGTCCAAGAGATTATGTCTTGTAGTACTCGAAGGTGCAAGCATGTTTATGTGTGAGGAATGAGAAAACTTACAGGCAGACAAGTTTCTAAAAATAAAAAATTAGCTTACAACTTAAAAATATGGCCGGGTGTTGGTGGTGCATGCCTTTAATCCCAGCACTCGGGAGGCAGAGGCAGGTGGATCTCTGTGAGTTCAAGGCCAGCCTGGTCTCCAGAGAAAGGGCCAGGATAGTCTCCAAAGCTACACAGAGAAACCCTGTCTCGAAAAAAACAAAACAAAAAAAAAAACAAAAAACAAAAAAGATTTAAAAATAAAAATCCAAGGAAACTATTATAAAATGGCCACAGATGAAAAATAATATTGATTACTAGATCAAATAGATCAGATTTCATAATATAGAAATACTAAAACGCCAAAGACACACAGGCCACTTCAGAGAGCTGCATGAAAGTGAGAAGTAGTTTTAGAAGTGAAGAAGCCAACATCAAAGGAAGCTCTTTATAAGTCTAAGCTATAGTAACATTTTGACCTTTAGATTTTAAATGGGAATTCCAACAGAGACTCATGTGAACAAATACAAATTTACTGTCATGTAAGTTTTTATATGTGGTTTTCAGAAGTTTACTTAAAATAGGAAAAATATCAGACAGATAGTAAGTAGACTTTTATTTGCAACTTTGGGTTTAGAGAGAGAGCCAGAGAGAGGGGGGAGAGCGAGAGAGAGAGAGAGAGAGAGAGAGAGAGAGAGAGAGAGAGATTGGTTGCAGTTTAAATAGCCTAGCCTTAAATCAGAATATATTACCATGGGAGTCCCATGTACCTCCCTTGACCGCCACTAGTCATCCTGGGGTTGAACCACAATGTCAATGTCATTCATTTTAGTGCTTGACAACTGATCTCCAGTCCCAACCCTCTGCAAAGTTTCTTGAAAGATGTGTTTGGTTTCAGGAATTTTCTCACTCAGTAAAAGCATGTAGGGAAAACTTTCTGTAATTCACTTTGTATGATATTATGTGTCTTAAACTATCATTTAAAAACTTCATATTGATAGAAAAATGGTACTATTGGATACAAGCAATTTTATGTAATTATTTCAAGCATACAATTTCATTATTTCTTTACGTTTATGGACGATACCCCAAGATTTGTACCTAGTAAAAGAAAGATGGAAGACAATACAGTAGCTCTATATGAATATTTTTGTTGATGCTATTTTGTTTTGAAAGGTTTTTTTCAAACAGCTTTGACATTGTATACACTCAGTATGATTACAAAAATTGCTTTTAATGTGCTTTTTTTTTAAACTTTTTGAAGCTTAATATGAGCTAGGAAATGTACAAGAATAATACTTAGATACAATATATTTTACTTAGGTTTCCTGTTTTTGTTTTTTAACAGTTTGCCCATTTAGTTTTTTTCATTATTTGTTCTCTGTATCTGGGCACATTCAGTTTTTCTGAACTATTGAAAGAAAAGCCTGATTAATGAAGTGAAAGGTAAATGCATCAGTGGTTTGTTAAGCATTGCCGCATTCCTCTTCAGGAAGGGCTGCTATATTTTGTTGCTACAATGAAAAGACTTCCTTTAAAAGGGTACATAGTATCCTGTTGTGTACAGCTTTTAGTTTTGGTTTTTGAGTTTTGCCAGTTTAATGAGAGAAGTGGTATTTCTTACATTTCTCTAATTATGGATAAAATGGGACATTGTCACAGGTCTGTTATTTTGTGAGTTTTTATTCTTATCATTCATTGCCTGTTTTCTGTAGGATTTGGGATTCTGCTATATTAAAAAGTCCTTTGTATGTCATAGGTAGTAAATCTCCTTTAATATGTTTACAAATACTTTATACCATTTTTTGGTTGTCTTTGCTTATGGTGTATTTGCCACACCACTAATTTAATTTATTGTTGTTGTTGTACTCAGAATTGAGCTCAAGGCCTTGCTCATGTTGGGCAAGTGCTCTACCACACATCCATATCCTCAGCTTATCACTGTGACTTTCAATACTTTTAATCACATTTTAATCTATCTAGTTGGTGTGTGTGTGTGTGTGTGTGTGTGTGTGTGTGTGTGTGTGTGTGTGTGTGTACATGTGCACAAGCATGCTAGCATCACATGTCACAGAGCATAGGTAGAGGTCAGAGGACAACATTCAGGAGTTGGTTCTCTCCTTCCACTGTCCTGGGTCCTGGGGATCAAACTCAGATTGTTAGACATGGTGGCAAGTGCCTTCACCCACTGAGCCATCTTCCAGTCCACAATTTTAGTTTTTAAGAGGTTTTTATGTAGGATACTCAGGCCTTGATTCTTAGCAGAATAAAGAGCAAATTTTAATTTTTTTGGCTTTTTCTATATCTGACTTTCAAAGTTATCATTAGCAAATTTTTTTAAAACCACAGATTATAGAAGAATTTATACTCAATAGTAATATTTTCAAAGTTTCATTTTATTCATTATTTGGAAAGGTAGCAAGAAATAAAATTAACTTGTAACAAGTGATGATATTGCAGCCTAGGAATCATAAGTACTTAGATGATATTATATGTCCTTTTCACAGGTGAACAGTTTCATACGGAGACGTAAAATCTAATGGCCAACATTATTGTCCATTTGGAGATTGGATGCATCAATTTTAGTATAACTGGAATGTCCATGTCTTAGGGTTTCTATTGCTGAGATAAAACATCATGACCATAAGTGACTTAGAGAACAAAGAGTTTATTTCAGCTTACCAGTCCATGTTGCAGCCTGTCATGAAAAGACTTCAGGACAGGAACTCCAGCAGGCAGTAGCTGAAGCAGAGGCTTTGGGGGAGCACTGTGCTTACTGCCTTATTCCCCACGGCTCCCTCTGTGTGCACACAGGACGGCCTGTCAG